TGTGTGGGAGCACTGAGCAGATGACATCCAGTAGATATCATATGTTCTGTATCTCAAAAACTGAAAGGCAGAAATGGATGGTGTTTTTTGGAATCAGAAGATCAACTATACCCAGAAACAGGGCTAACATTTGAGCCATCAAAATGAGTTTTGTCATTACAGCGAACAAAGGGATCTTGCAGCACCTTAGAGATGTAGAGAAAGAAGTTGGAATCACCAGCCCCTGCATCTCAAGAAGCAGAGTGAGGGCTCGTCCACATGAGCCACTTAATCGGAAGCTGGTTCAGAGCAGCAATATTCCAGATGGGCTCTACTATCCACCTCTGTCCTCAAGTCGGTTGGGCGGAGTCCAGATCATCCAGCCAGGGCGAAACTGCTTCTGCCACACTGAATTCTGACTTTATCTCAGCAGTGCCCCATAGCACTTGCCACAGAGCTTCCCTTGAAATTCTTCTTGATGTCAGCAAAGGTGCCCAGCAACAGCCAGGAACTTTCCAGAACATTCTGGCCAACTGCCATAATGAAGACAGGGTGTCACAGTCCCAACCCATTCCCGTTTCCCTTGAACTGAAGTATGATGGTGCTGGGCCGTGTGGAGATTCAGATTGAAGCATGTCCAACTGTCCACACTAATTCAGCAGTGCTAGCTGCTCAAGGGTTTCGGCCAGGCACAGGCAAACTTTGGCCCTCTGGGTGTTTTGGACTTCAACTCCCACAATTCCTAACAGCTGATGAATGGTTTCAGCCCGCATTATAATTTATAATATTATAATGTAATATAATATAATACTACTAATAATAACATGGTATTATAATTATATATTTTATATTATATGTGATATTACTAATAATATTTATAATATAATGATATAATACAAGACAGTAATATATAATACTGATATTGTACTATGCTAATAATATAATATATTGTATGTCTATTTATATTTTGTAAGCCGCTCTAAGTCCCTTTCAGGGTGAGAAGGGTGGCATATAAATATCATAAATAAATAATAGACTGGTGATCCCCAGATGTCATTTGGATGCACAGGAGTTACTTTTGGTCAACACTGGGGTATAAGACCAGGGTAGGCAAGCCCTTACTCTACAAAAACATTATTAAACAGAGTGTCCCAAAAGTTGCCATAACGAAAATGGGAAATTGTAGCTAAATACTCATTACAAAAAATATTACAGATAAAAATATAAAAAAATATATACATTTGTTAATTTTCCCTATGTATACCCTTTTCCTTTAGATTCTCTATCAAGCAAAATATGGGTGGAACTCAAAGACATAGGCATATTAATCTGGAGTATCATTTTGTAAAGCGCCCATTTTCACTGACTGTGTAATATTGTTCATAACTACCTCAAACCGCAGCAACCAGACAACAAATTCACACAAAACCACACAAAAACAAGCCCTTAAATGTGCACCAGTGCTCTGTGGTTTGTTTCATCATTACCCAGGCCTCAAAGTAGTACAAGAGTTTGCTATGTAATCATCTACACAGCAAAAATCACTTTTTGCAATACCGGTTTGAAAGTGCATTAAATGGTCAGTGTAAATGGAACCTCAGTGTACCTACACTTTAGAACTAAGGCAGCTTGACACCACTTTAACTGCCATAGTTAAATGCTAGAGAATGGAAGTTGTAGTTTTAAAAGGTCTTTAGATATCTCTGCCAAGGAGTGCTGATGCTTCAACAAACTAGAGCTCCCAGCATTCCATACCATTGAGCCATGGTAATTAAAATGGTGTCAAACTGCATTAATTCGACAGTGTAAATGCACCCTTAGAGAAGGAAATTAGTAGTGTAAGATTTCATAGACAAAGTCTATATCTGTAATGTTATCTATTTCAGCACACTTGGTTTAAATACTATATTCAAACATAGTAGAAATAATTTTATTTAAATAGCTGTACTAGTATAATACATAAATATATACTTATCTATTTATACACATAATAAAAGTTCAAATATATATGTGTGTATGTGGCTGGAGTATCCACTGACACAGACAAGCTCCTGCTTCCACAAACAGCTATAGTTTCCACTCCTCTGGAGACACCAGTAGCCCTCCCTCCAATGACACTGCAGACTACAGAGATCACCGTAAACATGTCCAAGAGCCCTACCAATGCCTTCCACAAACACTACACTGCCCACCACCCAAGTGAAGGCTTTCATACGGGGACAATTTCACCCTAGATTTTATGTGTTTCCTTTACCACAGACATCCCAGTGTTTCTCTCTCTTTCCATTGGTGTGGAATTTGCATGACGCCACCCACTGCCTCTCCCTTAACCCTTTCTTACCCTTTCCTATGGTGAACAGCAAACAGAGAAGAATTGATCAGCAACTGAACATACTAGAGGAGTTTTGGAGGACTGAATCAACATGATGGAAGTTGTAGTTCACCCTGCATCAACACAGAGCACTGTGACCCCCACCAATGACCCTGGACCTTATTTAGCACACTGAAACCCAATAGCCAATGGATCTGAGCCAAACTTGGAACGCATACCTGATATGCCCAAATTTGATTACTGAAGGAGTATGGGAGGGTCTAACCTTGAGTTTTCGGAATTGTAGTTCACTTTCAACCAGAGAAACTGTCACCCCCACCAATGATGGACCTGAATCAAACTTGGCACTAATTGAATATATTGGAGGGGTTTGAGGGGAACTGACCTTCATTCCTGGGAGTTGTAGTTTACCTACATCTGGAGACACTATGACCACCACCGACAATAAACCGGGACCACACTTGGCACACAGAACCCCCATGTCCTACTGAACATACTGGAAAAGTTTGAAGGGGTTGACTCACCATGGTGGGAGTTGTAGTTTACCCTGCAGCCAGAGAGCACACTGAACCCCACATCTAGAGTTGATGATGCATCTAGAGCAAACTTGCCCAACATGACAACTAAGTACTCATGGAGTTTCAGCGGGGTAACCTGGCATGATGTGAGTTGTAGTTCACCTATAACTTTATGCAATTTGTAAAATAAAAAAAAATGACTTCTTCAAATAACCCGGGAAACGTCGGGCACCCAAGCTAGCACTTCATAAAAATGACTACACTAGAAAGAACAATTATATATTAGGACTCATGCCTATAGAGCAACGTTTCTCAACCTGGGGGTCGGGACCCCTGGGGGGGGGGGGTCACAAGGGGGTGTCAGAGGGGGTGTCAAAGACGATCAGAAAACACAGTATTTTCTGTAGGTCATGGGAGTTCTGTGTGGGAAGTCTGGCCCCATTCTATTGTTGGTGGGGTTCAGAATGCTCTTTGACTGTAGGTGAACTATAAATCCCAGCCATCACAACTCCCAAATGTCAAGGTCTATTTTCCCCAAACTCCCACCAGTGTTCACATTTAGGCATATCGAGTATTTATGCCAAGTTTGGTCCAGATCCATCATTACTTGAGACCACAGTGCTTTCTGCATGTAGGTGAACTACAACTCCCAAATTCAAGGTCAATGCTCGACCAACATTTCCAGTATTTTCTGTTGTTTATGGGAGTTTTGTGTGTCAAGTTTGGTTCAATTCCATTGCTGATGGAGTTCGGAATATGCTTTGATTGTAGGTGAACTATAAATCCCAGCAACTACAACTCCCAAATGACAAAAATAATCCTTCTCCTAACCCCACCAGTATTCAAATTTGGGTATATTGGGCATTTGTGCCAAATTTAGTCCAGTGAATAGAAATACATCCTGTACATCAGATATTTACATTACGATTCATAACAGTAGCAAAATTATGAAGTAGCAATGAAAATAATGTTATGGTTGGGGGTCACCACAACATGAGGAACTTTATTAAGGGGTCACGGCATCCGGAAGGTTGAGAAACACTGCTATAGAGAGCTGTATCTAATACATTTTAAATTAATAGTCTAACTTTCTTTTGGTGAAGTACAACTGTTGCACACTTTTGGCTTCACTCACTTTCTGCACTACTCATCAGTTACATTTTAAAATGAGAAAAAGCTGACCCAGTAGAAGTAGCAGAACATTCTTCTTCACTAAAAAGGACACATATGAGTCTATGGGTATGGAGAGTTTATCACATTTTTGCCACAATAACACATACTTGTGATTGATTGAGAAGCAGGAGATTTTGTGAAACAGAAAAAACATTAACCTTTTGTTTATTAGCCTGCTTCCTGAGTGCTAGGATGTGTCAATCCTTGCCTTTTTAGAAGAGCAACTACAAGTTCATATCCTGTATTTAATCCATCCAACAGGATTGATTGCAGGGCCACACTCAACTAGGGATAAATGCACACATATATTTATGGTTTGCAGAATTTCCCACGGAAACATACTACTGAAAATTTTACAAAGAGTCTCCTAATTTGAAAGGTCTTGGATTCTTTTGTCTGCCATGATTTTTTAAAAATCTGCCAGAAACATAAGCATCAACAGTGCCCACCCCTCCCCGCAAAAAAAAAGCAACGTTGGGGATTATCCAGGCCTCCAGATATTGAATTCCAATTCCAGCACCCTAGCCAGAAGAGCCTAATTAATAAGAATGTTGGAAATTGTAATTTAACAACATCTCGAGAGCCATACAGATCCCAGTAAACTTGCTTTAGCAAAGCATGCTTTTTGAAGGGTCCCTGTCCTCATCTAGAAAGCAACATACATTATATACAAGCACGATACTATCATTGCTAAGGTTTACTACTTTCAAACCTTGCCTCCAGGACTTTTGTCATAGTAAAGGCACAATGAGGTCAAAACAGAAAACTCTACAAAAATTATTAATTGTTATGCAAGGAAATGTCCTATTCAAAGCATGAGAACAAAGCCAACTATTCAGAACGTGAAAAGGAGAAAAACATGGAGGACGGGATGCTATCAAATAATTCCATAGTATTTTTACTTGTTGCTGAAGCTTGTATTTAAGACCATTTATTCCCCTAGATACTGTCACCATCAGATTATGCCCAGCAAGTGTTCTAACAAGACAAACCCTAACCTGTTCATTACAGTCACGTGTTCTTGTGCTATGTCTTCCTTGGGTGCAGATACCCCTAATTCGGGAGACACAGGATATGGTGATGTGCTCAAACCAGGACGAATGGCTCCATAGTTTCCTTTACTTCTCAGTGGTGGGAACGAAGGCCTCCTGTTTTCCAGGGATGCGTTCATGAACCCAGGTTTCCTTAATGTGCCCTTTGGCTTGCCTATGACACAACGGAATGAAACACAAATTACTAAGTCACATTTTTCAATTTATCTGAGGCTCTGAAACAAGGGAAGGCTTAAACTTTTTCAACGTTTACTCTTTGTCTCTACAGTTGCAAGCTATGATAATTCTTGGATCGACATCTATGCAAAAGAAGAATGTTTAAGTTTACGCACCTTCAATAGTAATAATTAATAATAACAACTTTATTTTTATATCCCACCACCATCTCCCCAAAGGTACTTGGGGTGGGTTACATGGGGACAAAGACCAGCATAAACAAGGATTACAAGCTAAAACACAATTAAAAACATAAAATGTAAACAATCAAATTAAAATAATTAAAACCAAAAGAATAAAAACATCATAAAAATACATAAACCGACATCAACAACCACTAACCAGGAAATGGTGGGCATGATCAGATTTGAGAGGGCAGGGCAAGGACTTGTGCAAAATGCAGACTACAGAACAGCCTAATTCAAGCCTTACATTTAAGCCTATAGAGAACAACCAACTGAAGATCACCTGCTTGGTATTATTTTCTTACATTTGTCAGGAAGAATTTCTTCTGTTTTTTTCTTTTATTTTAGATATTCCTATCTTTACATGAAATTGCAAGGCACATAAAAGCAGTTAAGCTGCCTTGCAATACGAACAATCCAAAGGATACACGGTCCATTTGCCGTCAGCAGAATCACTACAATAGAGAAGCTCTGCTAATGCTTAGTACAAAGTTGATTAATGCAGCATGTACCAGTTCAGTATTTTGTAGCTGAGACAGGCTTACCTATTGAGGCAAGTGAAGCAGTATTTTTCAGCCTCATTCTACAATTCACTTGTCGGACTGTTTTCTTTTTGGATGTTCTCTGGCAGGCGACTAGTTGAGCAATCCCTGCAGTCTCTCGACACACAACAGCATGGCAAATCACCTGCTCAAAGGAGAAAGAAAGAAATCGAAAGTGGTGAATTTGCAATTTACCAGTTGTTTTCTATGTTCAGTCATGGGAAACACTTGCTCACTGGAAGCAGCCTCTTTGCATTAGGATGGAAATGTGTGATGGAATGTATGCAAGTTAATGCATTCATGCATTAAATCAGGAATTGAACAACCACATAGCTGATCCAGCACAAGCATTGGAGGCACAGATATATTGGCCCACTAAATAATAGAAGGTACACCTTTCAGCATGACATTTGAAAACACTGGTCTTAAACACATAACTCAGTGCTAAAGTCATCTTAAAATTATTAGAATATATCCTTCCCTGTTTTCTAGGATCTCAGTGTAAAATGTATTCTAGATCCTTGCCTTTCCTGGCTGATCAAACAGGCTAGAGGGGGGCTGGCAGAGTGGCTGAAGATGGTGGTCAATGCGTCTTTGGAACAAGGCAGAATTTCAGCCTTCCTAAAGGATGCAGTTGTGAGACCCATATTTTAAAAATCATCCCTGAACCCCTCCATAATGGACAACTATCGGCCTGTGTCTGATCGCTCTTTCTAAGCAAGGTTTTGGAGCATGTGGTGGCCTCCCAACTCCAGGGATGTCTGGATGAAATGGATTATCTAGATCCATTTCAATCTGGTTTCAGGCCTGGCTATGGAATAGAGACAGCTTTAGTTGCCTTGGTGGATGACCTATGCAGAGAGCTAGACAGGGGGAGTGTGTCCCTTTTGGTTCTCCTAGACCTATCGGCAGCTAGGTCCATTGCCCATGTTATCCTTCTGGGTCATCTCGCTGAGATGGGACTGGGAGGCACTGTTTTACAGTGACTCCCTTTCTGGAGGGCTGTATTCAGAAGGTGGTGCTGGAGAACTCATGTTCGAGCCCCTGGCCATTGTCCTGGGGGGTTGTTCAGGGGTCTGTGTTGTACCCCATGTCATGTTGTATCCCATGTCAACAGGCCAGGCCCAAGAAGGCCTCATCATCGGCTTCCACCAGGCTGGGTCCAGGAGGGCCTCGTCATGGCTCTTCAGCAGGCCGGGCTAAAGAAGGCCTCATCATTGGCCTTCAGCAGGTTGCGGCAGCTCCAGGTGATTTGTTGTGTGTTCACTTTGGCACTGAATGTTTGTCACTGTTACTTTTGTTGTAAATCGCCCTAAGTCCCTCTGGGGAGATAGGGTGGTATATAAATAAATTATTATTATTATTATTATTATTATTATTATTATTATTACACTACTACTACTACTACTACTACTATTTAACATATACATGAAACCACTGGGAGAGGTCACCCAGAGTTTTGGAATGCGGTGCCACCTATATGCAGATGACACCCAACTCTAATACACCTTCCCACCTAAAGTCAATGAAGCTGTCCTGACCTTAAACCAGTAAACAATTTCAAACAACTGAGAACAATTTAAAATAATAAAACAATTTACAGAATTGCAAAGCCATTTAGATCATAATCTATTAAGAGCTCCGTAAAAGATTTGACCATCAGATTTGCAAGACATTCAAAGAAAATACATATCGACCAATGATCAAGAAGGACTGTGGATGAGCAAATCTACTAAAACAATTATATGTAATGGATGAAACTAGAATAAGTAGAGCTGTATTGTACATAACACTATGTGAATGATGGGGTAGGGTGGGGGAGTATAGATCTGGAAATAAGATGATGTAACAAGACATTATCTGAAATGTTTTGAAATAAACATTTTTATTTACAAATAAATCATTAGAATATTTATATCCTTCCCCATATCCTAGGATCTCAGTGTAAAATCAATTAAAGACATTACATCAATTTAAAATAAAGATAATTTAAATACACCAATCACATATAAAAAAAACAAGTTGAGAAAGTTAGAACAGTTTAAAATCATGTGAAAGTTGGTTTTGGAATAGATCAATTTGGTCCCAATGGCATTAATAAAATACACATTGAAAATCTCTTATCTAAAATGCTTAGGACCAGAAGTATAGGCAGTCTCCGAGTTACAGACATCTGACTTACATATGCTTCATAGTTAAGAACGGAGGTTTTTTGTGCCTGAAGCGACTTGAGAAACTGCAAGTTGCTTCTGGTGTGAGAGAATTGGCCATCTGCAAGGATGTTGCCCAGGGATGCCCAGAAGTTTTACCATCCTGTGAGAGGCTTCTCTCATGTCACCGCATGGGAAGCTGGAGCTGACAGACGGGAGCTCACCCTGTCTCACGGATTTGAACCGCCAACCTTCAGGTCAGCAGTCCTGCCAGCACAAGGGTTTAACCCACTGCGCCACCATGGTTCCTAAGAACAGGGGTGAGACAACAGGAAGTGAGATGAAATCTACTCCTCGGGAGGGAAATTCACTCCTGAAAGTGTTATGATCATGGGGAAAAGGTGTCTCCACTGAAGCTTTATCACTATTTCTTGTTTCCACAACAAGCCAAATTTTTCAAAATCCAATGATCACAGGGAAAGAAAGTGAGCTGAAATATCCTAAACATGGGCACAGACAGCAAACAAACACCACAGGAGTGGTTAACTTTTCCCTATAGATTTTTGACTGGGGTTGCACTTAAAAATGTGCCTGTTCTGACTTACAAACAAATTCAACTTAAGTACAAAGCTACAGAATGTATCCTATTTGTAATTTGGAGACTGCCTTTATTCCTTTTTTTTTTTTAGATTTTGGTGGATTTTGGACTATTTGTATTTTCACAAATATACATCTTGGAGATGGAACTCATGTCTAAACACAAAATTCATTTGTGTTTCATATATGTTATACACAGGCTGCAGATAATTTGATACATTTTAAATAATTTTCTGCAGGAAAGAAAATTTGTACAGTTGCGAGCACCAGGGAGCAAAGGAGTCACCATCTTAGCCACCAATATGGATAATTTTGGATCTTGGAGTATGTCAGCTTTTGGAATTCCTTATAAGGGATGCTAACTTGAATAACCCTTTTTCACTTGGCACTAAAGTAAAGCTAATGTTGGTGCCAGCTGAACCTCCAAAGTGAAGGTATTTTACTACCAAGGCTCATTACTAAGTAGGCCCTATCACATAGTATATAGCCCTCAGTGCTGGGATACAGAGGAGGGCAAGATTCCCAGCTGCTGGGGATGCTAATGCCAACACATGCACCTTGAATTCTTACTGGAGCCATTTACATTAAACACAAAGCTATATTTTAAAAAACCCATCAGAAACGGGAGTGGAGTCTAGAACACTGCTTTTTAAAGCTGTGGATCTCGGCCCCAAATGGGATCCCCTTGACTTAATGTTAGGGTCCTGAAAAAGTTGACAGGAAAAGTTTTCTGAATGCCACCTAGTGGCTGTTTGTAGATATTATTTTGCACAAATTTGTTATGCAGAGTTCACAATGGACTCTGCAAAAGATGCTTCAGCTGTACTTCATAGAAATTAGCCTATTTAGCAAGCGAGAATCAGAGAGGATTTTTCAAAAGCGTTATGTTTCCATCTTGATCGCTCTCTCTCTCTCTTTTAAAATAATAATAATATATATATATAAATAATTCCCATCTTAGTCTCAATATCCAAAAAGGATTTTAAAAAAATGAACATTTCAAGACCACTACAAACAAAACCACTTCAAATAACTCAGTACTAAGCACAAGAGCTTTGACACTGGGATTATCTCATGCTAAAAGTGTCAAATCCTTGCATCAAAGGGAATTTCAAAGTCCATCCACTACACACTCACACAGACCTGGTTAAAAAGAATGAATTTCTTACCTCACTACTTTTACTGCCTTCCAACTTAACAAATCCAGGGATGCTTTTCAGATACCCTTCCAGAGAAGGATGTCCCAGCTGCCTGAAAGGAATCAGCTCTCCAGTGAAAGATTTATATTCTCCTTGCAAACGAGAAAAGGGAATTCCATTTTTATGTGACTGGAGAACAGAGCGGAGTATTTTTGCAACTCGGTCAGCTTCCTGCATTTTCACCTGCAAATGAAAATATGTGAGTTTTCAGACAGAAGTCAGAAATATTTCTCTTTTTCAGATCTGCACTGTTAACACAAAAAGAACTCTAATTTATTGAGACTAACCCAGGACAAAGTAGAAGGACAAGTCAGCAATGTCCCACTGCCAAAGAATCTAACCCAAGACAAAACATTGTTTTGGTAGCTAACTGAATAAGCATTCTGAATTATGTAAGCAAAGGATCTTGCCAGCCGCTACAAAAAGAAAGAAAGAGTCCCGGGATGGTGTGATTAGTAGCACTGAACTAAACACAGAAGCCTGGGTTCAAAACCTCATTTAGCCATGTCAATAACTAGGTGACTCACAATACCTTAATCTACCCCACCTTGAATTCTTCAAATCAAAGTTAGAAAAATATATTTTAAAAACCTAGATAAGAGTCTTTAGATCTCCTTGAAAGTAACTGGTTACGTTTATAGTGGTAATTTTAAAGTAAACCAACCTAGTATTTTTCCTCTTATTCATAAATGGCTTTAATGGTTGTTTCTTAGTTATCTTTCAAAAACATCAAGATGTTGACAAATAGAACAAAATGCACAAAAAAGTGAGGCCATGCACCGCTGTATGACAAAAAGTAATCAAGAACAATTACACTACAAAACGAATCAAATCATTATCAGCAGAATGTGTGATGTCTTAGTGAGAAGGAGAAATAATTACCCGTATATAATTGAGTATAAGCCGACTCAAATATAAGCCAAGGCACCTAATTTTATCACAAAAAATGGAGAAAAGTATTGATTCGAGTATGAGCCGAGAGTGTGAAATACAGCAGCTACTGATAAATTTCAAAATAAAAATAGATGACAATACAGTTCCATTAATTGAGGCATCAATAGGATAAATGTTTTTGAATATTTGCAGAAAACTGTAATTTAAGATAAGACTGTCTAACTCTGATTAGACCATTAGTCTAACCTTCAATGTAAATGTGCTTACGTATCCTTCCCATAATAATAGAGTAAAATGATACATGTAATAATAAAAAATAATAGAGTAAAATAATAAACATAATACTAATAGAGTAAAAGAATAAATGTAATAATAATAATAATAATAATAATAATAATAAGTAAAACAATAAAAATAAAGTAAAGGTAAAGGTTTCCCCTGACATTAAGTTTAATCGTGTCCTACTCTGGGGGGTGGTGCTTATCCCTATTTCTAAGCTGAAGAGCCGGCGTTGTCCATAGACACCTCGAAGGTCATGTAGCCGGCATGACTGCACGGAGCACCGCCTTTGCTTTCCTGCCAAAGCAGTACCTATTGATCTACTCACATTTGCATGTTTTCGAACTGCTAGATTAGCAGAAGCTGGGCCTAACAGCAGGAGCTCACCTTGCTCCATGGATTCGAACCGCCAACCTTTCGGTCCGCAATTTCAGCAGCTCATCCGTTTAACTCACTGTGTCACCAAGAGGCCCGTGTGAGTAAAATAATAAATGTAATAATAACAATAATAAATGGAGAAAAATAAATAAATAAATAAATAATAACAATAAAGAAAATAATAAATGAAATAATAGTAGAGTAAAATAATAAATGTAATAAAATCATAATAATAGGGTAAAATAATAAATAACTTTGACTCTAGTATAAGCTGAGGGGGTTCAGTCTAAAAAAGGGCTTTAAAAACTCTGCTTATACTCAAGTATATACAGTAATTGTAAGTTATGACTAGTTATTTTTCAGCTCTGCTTCAAGGACAGACAGTATACAAACGTTATAAAAGAAAATTTCAGTTTTTTAATAAATATATAAAAGCAGAAGCTTTACAAAACCTTACTGTAAGTCCAACTGATACTAGGCCTCAACAAATGTATGTTAAGAACTCCCCCAAACAAGTACATTTACTTTAAAATAGATACGTTTTATTGATTGGCCTATTGGCCGTATCAAAACATTTAACACATAACACAATTAACACATAGTCATACATACAACATACAACCCTCGGTATAAAAGAAGTTAAAATAAACAAGCTGTTAACAAGATCTCGTTCAGGTCAAATGTCTGCGTCACCTCCACAGTTTACCCCAATTGATTCTAAATGTGCAATTCTCAGCTGTGTTGCTTTGAATAGAAAAAGGGCTGTTTTGTGTGTTATTTTAGGGTTCTGGCCGGCCAACAAAAATGAGGTTTTAATATATGGGTCCCAGTGTGTTTTTTGAGTAATGTATGGTCTGTCGGTGTGCAGTCCTTTCAGCTTATTTGCTATCTTATAAATTTGCCATGTTTCCCCTTACACTGAGATAATTTACCAAGTTTGGTGTAAGTACCCTTTTTCTCAGAACTTACCTTTACTGGATAACCAATACAAACGGCATTTACCTTATGGAAGAAATCAGTAAACCAGACCTTATTCCCAGAATTCAAACTACTGGTAGTTGACTGGAAGAGGTTTCCACACAGTCATTATCACAGTCTCCCTAGGCCTCCAAGTCAGCCTTTTCCTATTAATTAGTAGAACTAGCAGAATGTAGTAGAATGGAAGACATGCCTGGTTTGTTCCTTTTTAAATGAATGTCTTCAGTAATGAGCCAGAGACCCTCTCATCAACTGTTGCCACCTACTATTTTGAATGCGCAAATTCTTGTCTCATCTCAGAGGCAAATTATGGTGTGGCTTAGTTAGTAAATGGAGGGGGTTTCACCAAGGACTATTAAGAGATCTCTAAAAATATTCTGCTTTAAACACTGGAGAACTGATACCACTAAAGAGCTGGCAATCCTGTTTGATGTCCAGATGGATCAATGATCTATCTGTACAGTATACAGTTTACTATACAGGCAGTCCCCAAGTTAAGAACGGGCTCAAAGCCAACCTTAAAAACTCTGGCATAGACACTGAGAACTGGGAAGCCCTGGCCCTTGAGCGTTCCAGTTGGAGGTCAGCTGTGACCAGCAGTGCTGCAGAATTTGAAGAGGTACGAATGGATGGCAAAAGAGAGAAACGTGCCAAGAGGAAGGCACGTCAAGCCAACCCCGACTGGGGCCGCCTTCCACCTGGAAACCTATGTCCTCGCTGTGGGAGAAGATGCACATCAAGAATAGGACTCCACAGTAACCTACGGACCCACCGCCAGGATACTACACTTGGAGGACCATCATCCTCGGATCACGAGGGATCACCTAAGTAAGTAAGTTAGTTAAGATAGGTTCTGTAGGTTTGTTCTTAAGTTGAACTTGTATGTAAGTCGGCACAAGTACATTTATTCAGTGCATCACCATCCATATATATGTGTGTCCACATATGCGTACACACGCTTTGGATAGCATAGGGAAGGGTTAACACGGTTCGGGCCCGCCTACTGGAGGGATCACATCTCCTCCTATCAACCCATATGAGCCCTGAGATCATCAGGAGAGGCCCTTCTCTTGGTCCCATTGCCATCACAAGTATGCTTGGTGGGAATGAGAGAGAGAGAGCCTGCTCGGTGGTGGCCCTTCAGCTCTGGAACTCCCTTCCCAAAAGGTACGATCAGCATTCTCTCTACTGCCATTTTGTGCACAGGTCAAAACCTTTCTGTGGAAGCTGGCCTTTCCTGATGACCCATAATAGGCAATGAACAAGCAGCTATGGGTAATGCATATCAATGGCCTTAGTTGTGACATGTTTATAAGGCCTAAAGAATCGGTGCTCCTAGAATTTTTTGTCTAATTGTTTTCATGGATGACCTCATTGGCTTGAGGCCCAGAGATTTTAGTGGTATTTATTTATATGCTGCCTTTCTCACCCCGAAGGGGAATCAGAGTGGCTTTATATATATATATAATATATACACACACACACACACACACTATATTATTAGCATAGCACAATATCAGTATTATATATTACTATATTGTACTATACCATTATACTGTAATATTATTAGTAATATTACATGTAATATAAAATATATGGTTATAATATTGTATTATTATTATATATTACATTACAATATTATTTTTGTTGTGTATGGGTTATGTAATGTGTTCTTTATCTGTTTCGTTTTTGCTTTGTATCACGTAATTTCTGTTGATAGAACCATTATTTGCTGCTTTGAGTCCCACCCATAGGAGAAAAGCAGGATATAAATAAATGAATAAATAAATAATAACATTCTTGTGGAGTTTGTTTTACTTTCTGTGTTCCTGTTCAGCAGAGTTCACCTCACTTTTTGTCCCTGTGATAACTGGATTCTGAAAAAAAATGGCTTGTTGTAGAAACATGGATTGGTGATAAAGCTTCAGTGGAGACAACTTTTTCCCCATGAGAACTCTTCTCAGAATGTCCTTTTCGAGGGGTAGAGTTCTCTCACTTCCTGTTGTCCCAACCAAGTTCTTAACTAGGAGTTGTATGTAAGCCTGATGTCTGTAAGTCAGGTACTGCCCATACTACTAATATACCACCTTGGAGGCATGCTTATTAAGTAACTCTTTAGAAGTAGCCACAAAACAAATCTATACATATAATAAAAGTCAAAGTTTGTATGCGGAGGACAAAAGTGTGGCGGTGCGACGGGAGGAGTATGTGCCAGCGTTCTGATTGGCTGCCGCTGTGGTGCTTTTTGCATATGGTCTCTGATTGGCCAGCTTCAATAGGAGCCCCTGGTGGAGAAAAGAGTCCATGACAGAAATGGGGACATGAGAAGGATATTTGCATATGGTCTCTGATTGGCCAGCCTCAATTCCAAGATTCTGAGATGACAAAGAGAGAAAAGGAAAAGGCCAGGGCCTCTGTCAGAAAATTACCAATACAGACCAAACTTGGCACACAAAGCCCCCATGACCAACTCTACATCCTACTGCAGTTTGGAGGAGGATGAACCATGGATGATGGGACTTGCAGTACCATCACTCACATTCTGAGATCGCTGTTAACCTCATCCAATGATTGATCAGGACCAAACTTGGCACATAGACCTCTCATGATCCACTTTACGTCTTGGAGTGGTTTGGCCGGGGATGGACCATGGA